TTTTACACAGGGTTTTGCTGAGTTGCCCAGGCTGGCCTTGAACTTGGAATCCTCTTGCCTGATCCTCCTGAGTAGCTAGGATTACAGGCTTGTGCCACTATGGCTGGGTAGTTTTTACTTTTTCTAAATTGACATAAAAATTACGCATATTTATTGTGTATCATGTGGTTTCAGTCTGTGTATATTCATTATGTAGTGGTCAACAAGGTCAACATATTTACTAAAATATTTATCATTTGTGATAAAGTTATTGGAGATTCTTTTTTCTGGCTCTTTGAAACACACAGGACATCATCATCATCATCATTATTGTTATCTGCAGTCCCCCTCCTGTGTAGTAGAGCACAGAACTCACTTCCCCAATCTGACTGTACCTGGCCACCCACTGACCAACCTGTCCCCATCCCTCCCTCTATCCTACTTTACCCAGCCTTTGACGACTGTTATTTTACTCTTAACTTGTTTCTTTTTTTTTAAAAGCTTGGTTTATAATACTTTCTTTTTCCTTCTTTTTGAGACAGGGTCTCGCTCTGTAGTTCAATCTGGCCTTGAACTTTAATGATTCTCCTACTTCAACCTTGTGCTGGGATTACAGGTGTGTGCTACCACACCCAGCTTTTTAAAAGTTTTAAGTAGTATCTATGATCCTCTATTATTGTAACTTCCCATTTTATTGTTATTTATCTGTTACTGAGCCTAGCTTATACATTAAATTTGGTCACACTTTGTGTGTATGGGAAAGCACAGTGTTATAGGGCTGCTGTCCGTGGCTTCAGGTGTCCCCTGGGGGCCCTAGACGAGTCTCCAAGGACAGAGCCTGCCTCTGGCCACTGCCCCTGTCAGTGTCTAGCTCCAGGTAACAGTTATGTGTGTGAAAGGCATCTGCAAGCCTCTTTTCCTTCAGTTGTTTATGGGGAGCAGGTGTTCTGCCTCTGAGCAGCTGGCCAGCCCTTTTCTACCTTCTGACATCCAGTTTCTGCTGCCCCGAGGTTATGGGCCTTTATTTCTCCGAGAGTATTTACTCCCATGAAAGCGCACCTGCTATTGATAAATGTCCTGGGTGGCTTCGCGAAAGCAGACCCGCAGGGGCCCCCGGACTTTCTAGGGCTCCCGTGTGCCTGTCTGCTGTGGCTCCAGGGCTCACTCAGGCCTTGCTCTCAGTGCTGCTCTGCCCTCTGCCCAGGACTAGCAGAGGAGGACCTAGGCGAGTCTCTGGGAGAGGCCCGGAGCCACCGGCTCCTCTGTCTAGCTTCCCCCACAGGCTGAGGGGGAGGAAGGCACAGGCTGAACACATGTCCCGTCCCAAACCTGTAGCACAGGGAGGGCCTGGTGTCAGTGCAGGCCACAGGCCCTGTTGGATTATTAATTTTAAATGACTACCTTAAACTTTTTGAAGGACTTAATGCCGAGAATCAGTGTTTAAGCTGTGGTGTTTTAAAGTTGTGTAATATTTACACATTTGAGACATGCTAATATTTTATTGTTCACAGTATTAGGGTTGCTGAATAGGTTTTAAATATCTGGATTGCTCTAAATCCTGGACTTGTTAATTATGGATTCATCTACTGTATTTATCTTTTTTTGTTTGTGATTACTTTTTTGGCTATTCCTAGTAAGATCTAATTGATTAAGACATGTCTTGGGGAAAGCAGGTGACATTTACTGAGCTGTATAATTTGTGGAAAGTTTCTTAGTAGTTTACATGGGGAAGACTGTTTTTTAAAATTGGCAACTGAAAAGAAGAGGGTATTAGATTATAAAATAGTGTGATAGGATGTTCTAAATCTGACTGGGGCAGAGAAGCAGAAGATCTAAGCAGGTGTGGGGTGTGTGTGTTCTTGAGACATGAAGGAGTGATTGGAGTGGGGAGGAAGGAGAAGACTAATAAGAGGTGTGCAAGCCTCTGGCCATTTTTGAAAAGCATGGGTGTACAGGGCAGTAGATGAGTGAAAACTTTATCTCTTTTGCTGATTTAGCGCCTTGTAGTTGCTAAGAGTGTGGGATGAATATGGATGGAAGAGTATGGTGATAAGTACAGAAGCGATTTCAACTAGACAAGTGTTGTGATGGGAGAGCATGAAGTAGAATAAGCAAGATCCTAAACAAAATCCTTAAGCTAAGAATGCACAGAGCTGGGTGTGGTGGCGCAGGCCTGTAATCCCAGTTCTTGGAAGGCTGAGGCAGGAGGATAGCAAGTTCAAGTTCAACATGGGGACTTTAGCAACGTAGTGAGGTCCTGTCTCAAAATAAAAAATAGAAAAGGGCTGGGGATGTAGCTCAATGTGAGGCCCTGGATCCAGCCGCTGTTCTGCCAAAAAAGAGAACAATCCACAGATCAAGGAAATTGTGGAAGAGATAATAAAATCAAAATTAAAATTATAAGCCTGTTTTTTAATACAGCTTGTATTTTAAAATAAAAATAGAAAAAGTTATTCATATATTTGTGAATAATGTTCACTTAGATCTAATTTTTAGGGCTACTCCATAATTCTTTTAATTCTTTTTGAATCCATAATTATAATTAGGTTTTTCATTTTTATTTTATCTAACTTTTCCTAGACCTTTGATTGTCATATGTAATTCCTGCTGTGTGGCTTTCTAGATACGCTAATTTCTCTTAGAGGCCTTCCAGCCTCATGCCCCAGGCCTAAGCCTGCTTTTGATTAGCAGTCTGTCTAAGCCTCTGCTCTGTTATCTCAGCGCATCCACTTGGCTCATTTTGCTCCACCTTGGTAACTTCTCACCTTATCTGTATGTGGTAGCAAGTCTTTTGAGTCCTTCATCTGTCTTGCCCTTCTGCTTCTTGTTGCCTTTAAGCAAAACTGTAGACTGGGTGTCTCTTGCTGAATTACACGAAACTGACTTCCTTGTTTCTCCCTAATGCTTATCTCCTTCCAGAACTCCTCCTTCATGCTTGTCTTTGTAGTCATTGGGGAAGGTATAATTGTAAATCCTGGCAGGGAAAGAGATTGAACACAGACTGGCCCTTAACCCATCTTGTCTCCCAGCCCCACAGCCCCTCTTGCATTACTGTGAAATCATACAGCTTATGTTATTCTTTGTATTTTATTTTTCTGGAGGAATATCTGGCCAGTTCTATCTGTGCTGCAGTAACCTTCCGAAAAGTAGCTGCTACTCATTTTCGTATCTTCAGAGATATTTCTTAAAGTAATTTATTGTTTCTCTGGACAAAAAGAAAAGGCCCAGGTCATCCAAGGATAAACAGTCATGTGTCACTTAGCAACAGGATATGTTGTTGGAGCCTCCTGTGGTGCACTTACACAAACCTAGATGGTCGGCCAATTTCTGTGGCTTCTTGATGCAGACATGGTACACGTAGTATGTATGAGGCTGCTGCCCCCATAAGGTAGTGTCCTGTTTTCTAGTAAACTTTTATTTATGGGAGACAGGGTCTTGTGTAAATCAGGCTGGCCTAGAACTCCCAGTGATCTTCCTGCCTCAGCCTCCCAAGTGCTGGGTCTATAGGCGTGTACCACATGTCTGGGAACTTTCCTTAATAAGTAAAAAAAAGTAAAAAAACAACAAAAAAATGTATGGAACAATGAACACAGTAAAGCAGTAACAGTCATGATTTAGTACTCTGTACTGTACATACAGGTATGTGATTACTTTCTGTATTGCTGCCAGTGTGGTGGGCATGTGTGCACCTCACCTCACAGACCTACAGGCGATGTGTTGCACTATGATGTTAGTATGCCGTGATAGGAATTTTTCAGCTCCACTGTCATGGAGCCACCGTTGTATTACAGTCTGTTTCCGACTGAAATGGTGTTAGGCAGTACATGACAAATTCAGTGTGGCATTTTGAAAAGTTGTGAAAAATTTAGGTAAAGGGTTAATGTACAGAGTGACTAATGTCCTGGTAATCAGGAAAGTAAAGGCTGAGCATTGAGAAGATTAGAATTTCTGTTTACTGTAATGGGAAAAATCATAGGTTAACAAATTTGCCAGGGCTGAGATAGGAAGTAGATTTTGGATGTGGTAAATTTTAGGTACTTATTTAGGCCACCAGCTAGATTTGGTTGTTAGCATGTCAGTAGTCTCTTTTCATCACTAGGAATCCCCTTTTCTTTATCTTTTTTAATGACATTAACTCTTACAAAGAGTTCAGGTCTGTTACCTAGAGTATCTCCCTTTCTGAATTGGTTTCCTAATAATTGGTTATGGTGACATAAGCTTTTAACAGAAGAACACAACATATGTGACATTGTGTATGTTTTACTGCATGGCATCAGGAAGAACATATTAGCAGGTTGCCATGCAGTTGGTGTTGCTAATTTTAAAAGAATTATTTCTTTTGTGGAGGTTGAACCCAGGGCCTCACTTGTGCTAGGCGAGTCCTCTATTGTGCTACACTCGCAGCCCTTTTAGTTTTTGTTTTTCTTTTTTATGTAATTTAAGAATTTTTTACTAGTGCACGCTTGCAGTCGATAATGATTACATTCATTGTGGGGATGTGTTGATAAGTTTAATCATGTAGTTAAGTTAGAACTCTTCATCGTAAAAGCCTGTTTTGTGATTTATAACTAAGTGGCACAGGGTAGGGGTGTGGTAGGTTCCAAATAACTTCTGATGAATTTCAGTTCTCTTTGCCCACACGTTCTGTAAACTTAAAAACCAGTTCTGTCATCTTAACTACTTTACTGAAGTTGTTTTTCATAAAATCAGAAATTTACAAAGGTAATCCTGCAGAGATAGAGTTGGAGCCGGTGAGGGCTCTGTGCTCTAGGGATTGTTTGTACAAAATGTTCAAATTGGGCTGGGGATTTAGCTCAGTGGTTGCCTCCTGCCTCGAAAGCGCAAGGTCCCAAGTTTGATCCCTGGTACCAAAAAAAAAAAAAGTTCAAATTGTGCCAAAACACAAGATACAAAACCATCCTGTGCTCCTTATACCTATTATAGAAATGTTACACTTCTGAAAGTGTCAGCAACTCTATGTTCTTAGGAATCTTATTTAATTAACTTTTTTTATTTTATAGATTTAAATGTAACAGTGGATACCTATATGTCTTTCTAAGGTAAGTTTTAAATTTTTATTCTGAAAACATTATTGTATTGAATGTTACTCAAGTAGTTTGCCTAGAAAGTAAATTTTAGTTACTGAAACTGCCATAGTAATTATTTACCACCTTATAGGTTTTGTGATAGAGAAGAAAATCACCCTCAGGAAAGTAATCATTTCTGCCAGTACTGTGCTCAGTACTTGGGTGCTGGGGCAGACTGTAGATTGTCATGGACTTCTTGGGTTTACACATTTTTTGGAAAGTCAGTTTGCTTTAAAATTGGCATCCTTGAGCATTGGTTTCAGTGTTTTAGTTTCTTAGGGTAACAAAATACAGGTTGAGTCTCTCATTTCTGAAATGCTTGGGACCAGAAATATTTTAGATTTGATTTTTTTTTTTCTTCAGATTTTGGAATATTTGTGTATATGTGAGATATCCTGGGGGAAAAAACCCAAGTCTGAATGTGAAATTCATTTATGCTTCTTTTTTTTTTGGTACCAGGGATTGAACTTGGGACCTTGCACTTGCAAGGCAGGCGCCAGAACCACTGAGCTAAATCCCCCGCCCCATTTATGCCTCTTGTACACATAATCTGAAGATACTTTTATTTGGTATTTTTAGTGTGCCTGCATTTTGGCTGACCCATCACATAAGATCATATATGGGATTTTCTGTTTCCAGCATCAAGTCAGTGCTCAGAAAGTTTCAGATTTTGGAGCATTTGGAATATTTGAATTAGGGATCCTAACCCTATACTGCTAACACAGTGGCTTGAAACAGCAGAATTTTCTTCTGTCAAAGCACTGTAGACTGGAAGTCCAAAATCAAAGTGTCAGCAGAATGTGCCTGCTGAAGATTCAGGGATACCCCTTGCTTGCATCTTCCTTAGCTTCTGGGTTTTGTTGACAGTTGCTGGTTCTCACTCCCTATTTCCTTGTCTCTGAATCTCTTTCTCCTATAGACACCAGTCATTGGGTTTGGGGCCCTAATCAAATATGATCTCAAAACCTCTATTTCCAACTCCTTGGAACACATTCCCAGGTCCTGGGGTTGGTACTGAGCATATCTTGGGGAAGAACTTCATCTCACAGCAGTTGGGAGTTGGTTTATGCACCACTCTAGCAATGTTGAGATTCTGTGATCATTTTGAACCTTGAGTGTAATGTTATATGAGGCAATAAAATGTTTTGGCATTGGTGTAGAAATAAAAGTTTATTCTGAATTTCTTAAGCCAATTTAGGGCTATTCGTAATAGGCTTTGAAATGGAGGATGAAGTAGAGTTTCCTCCCATTTTTCTTTTCTTTTTTTGGTGGTATTGGGAATTGAACTGAGGACTTTCATACTGAGCTACATCCCCAGCCCTTTTTACTTTTTTTGTTTTGAAAGTCTCGCTGAGTCACTAAGTTGTCCAAGCTGGGCTCAAATTTGAGACCTTTATGTCTCAGCCTCCTAGTGTGCTGGAATTACAGGCGTGTGCCACTGTGCCCGGAGGGAGAGGAGGGGAGGTAGGAGAGGGAGGGCTTTTTTTGAGACAGGGACTTGCTATGTAGTTCAGGCTGGCCTTGAACTCACTATATAATACAGTACAGGCTGGTCTTGGGGGAACTCACAGCAGTCCTCCTGCCTCACCCTCCTGAGTGCTGGGATATAGGCAGGCGTCACCATGCCTGTCCCAGTGATTTTTTTTTTTTTAAATGTTTATAATGTAAAAGACTGTTGGCATTTGTGAGATTTGGTCTAAAAAAGGAGTAGAGGTAATTGGGAAACTCAGTAAACTCATTTTTTTCTTTCAATCTTTTATATGTTTTGTCTTGTAATAATAATGCTGTTCTTTTTAAAAATTTATTTAAAATTTATTTTTAAATTTAAATTAGTAAACTAGGTTTGGGTAATTTAAATGTTTTAAGCTCACTGATATTTTTAATCTTTTGGAAAATAGAATAAAATATTAATGGAAGGTCAGTAAAATTCAGCTCCAACTTCAGAGGGCATCTTAGATGATATATATACCTAGTGACACTAGCCCAGTGCCTGGCTTTCCGTCAGTGGCTGTTATGTATTAGTGATTATGACTGAGCCTTTCTGAGGAATTAAAGATGGTTGTGAGAATTAGAGTCTGTCTCAATTCTTTTACGTTTGTGATGCATAGTACATTCCGCTTGGGTAGTTGGTGTATACATATCTGGCATCTTGATCCTTTTTACTTCACCTTCCTCCTGTCTCTCCTCATTTAATTTTTTATAGTATATTGGCTAGTGAGTTTACTATTCCAGTCATTAGTTTTGGCTTGGGTCATAAATAACTGAAAAATACAGATGAAATGGAAGTGTTTTTAATGTAGGGTAATACACGTGACATTAGGTACAGTTTTACTTTCTAGGCTTGAGATTTGGAGGCATTTTTCTCTAAATGGGCTGTATTATGTGACGTTGGCGAGTAAACACCAAATCCAGATTACATTAATTATTTCTTTATTCTTTTTCTCCATTTAAATAAAATAGCTCCATTACTGCAGCAAGCCCCAAAGCTATAATGTGGCGCTCATCCTTTTTGAGAGGTGAACATTACTGAATGGAGATGGCTGATGGAAGTGGGAAGACTGTTCCAGGCCAAGTATACATTGAAGTGGAGTATGACTATGCGTACGAAGCAAAGGGCAGAAGGGTGGTGATAAAACAAGGGGAACGCTACATCTTGGTGAAAAAGACCAATGACGACTGGTGGCAAGTCAAACCGGATGAGAATTCCAGAGCCTTTTACGTGCCGGCCCAGTATGTGAGGGAGCTCACCCGCAGAGCCCTGATGCCGCCTGTGAAGCAGGCCGCCGGACTGCCAAACAGTTCTGTGAAAACGATCCAGAGTCTGCATCTTCAGAGATCCACAGAGAATGTGAACAAACTGCCTGAGCTTTCGAGTTTCGGAAAGCCCTCACCGTCTGCTCAGGGAACAGGTCTCATTCGTGATGCCAATCAGAATTTTGGACCCAGCTGTAATCCAGGTCAAATTCTCACCCTAAGCCTGGACATGACCCACAACAACGGAAAGTTGAACAGTGACTCACACTCTCCCAAAGTTTCCAGCCAGAACAGGACGCGCTTACTTGGTCACTTTCCTGGTCAGGAGTTCTTGGACGTAGAGAAAACTAGCTTCTCCCAGGAGTCGTGCGATTCAGCAGGAGAAAGCTCAGAGAGATTACATCAAGATTCTGAATCTGGAGACGAGCTTAGCAGCAGCTCCACCGAACAGATAAGGGTAAGATTAAAAGCAGAATGATGAAACTCTTCTACTACCTTAATAACAATTAATTATATGTTTTCTTTAATTAAAATCCTTGTGAGAGTTAAAATTGTTTTTGCTTTATATTTTCAGAATACATGGATTCTGTCATGCTTTAAAGAGCTAGAAGATGTGTGAAATAACTTGGGAAATTCCTAAAGGGTCACTGGTTTTTAGAATCCTTGTGCTTTTATAGGGATAGAATTACTTTAAATATGGAAGTTAATTTTTATGTCTGTTGATTATGCATAAACAATTTAATTTATCTGGTATATTTCTATTAATAGAAACAATTTTACTCTTCTCTAACAGTACTCAATTGGACTTCAGTACTTCAATTAATAATGGATATCTGGGCCGGGGATTTAGCTCAGTAGTTTTGCTGCCTGCTGCACAAGCGCAAGGACCTGAGTTAGATCCCCAGTCCCTCCCCCCCACCCCCCACCCCGCAAAAATGGATATCTGAGGAAAGATGTCATTACAATATTGACTTTCGCTCATTGCACCTTTTTTTTTTTTGGTACTGGGGATCGAACTTGGGTCCTTCCACTTGTGAGGCAGGTGGCGGAACCACTGAGCTAAATCCCCGGCCTACACTGACTTTTCGCTTGGAAAAAATTTTGTGGTTTGTTTTCCCCCACTTTACTTTCTTCTGCAGTTACCTTGGTGCCAATTTATTTCTCAAGTGAAGTAAAGTCATCTTAAAAGTACATGTGTGAGGGGCAAGGGATTTAGCTCAGTGGTTCTGCTGCCTGCCTCACAAGTGCAAGGACCCAAGTTTGATCCCTGGTACCAAAAAAAAAAACAAAACCCCAAAACTAAACAATAAACACATGCATAACCAGGCATGGTGGCGCACACCTGTAATCCCAGCTATTCAGGAGGCTGAGGCAGGAGGATTGCAGGTGGAACTTAACAAGATGCTGTCTCAAAAAAGGTTGGGGATGTAGGTCAGTGGTAGAGAGCACTTGCCTAGCATTCATGAAGTTCCAGGTTTGATCCCCAGTACCAAGGCCAAAGAGAAAAGCATATACATGAAATTAAAATTGGATGTATTTGGAAGAAAATGATAAACTTTTGGTTTGAAGCTCTGTTGTGAGATTATTCATCACAGCAAGTCAGCGAATAATTAGGAGGCTGCTGTTAGGTATGGTCTGGTTATGGAAGTACATTCTTTTCGTAGTTTATAACTTTCTTTCCTCTCCTCCCCCTCTCTGCACCCTCTCTTCCACATCTCCCCCACTTCTACTCCTCTCTCTTTCCTTTGTTGAGACCAGGTCTGTCTCACTGTGTAGCCCAGGCTGGCTTCAAATTTGTAGGAGTCCTCCTGCCTCAGCCTCCCAGAGTGCTGAGATTATAAGGCATGTGCCACCACGCCTGACTCATAACATTTTTTAATAGAAATAGAAAAAAGGGAAAATTCTTTAGAAAAAATTCTGGTGTTTGGGATCAAGGTGCACTCTCAGCTTATCTCTTAGGCTGTATCTCATAGGCTTTCTTTCAGTCTTTGTTTGATAATCTGACATAGAACATACAGTGTTTCATTGAATTTTTCTGTACATAGCTTCTTATAGAACTAATAGGTTTTCAAAAGATGTATTTTTAATTCTATCCAGCCTTAAGCACTATCACAGTGCGAATTATATTTACAGACATAAACAATGTTCTCTTCAGTATGGCTATCTTAAGTTCCCTGCTGTAGAAGTTCATGGCTCCTAACCTACCTGCGCCTTAGCACTATTTGGAAATCCAGTTTAGATTTCGTGGTGAGCCCTCCTCCTAGCTCTCCATGGCAACTCTTTTAACCCTTTGCCATTTTCTTCATTTTCCTGAATCACTTGCCTTCCCCTGCTCTTACCAGATAACCCTGCCTTCTACTTTATAGCAACAAATAAAAGCCATGGTTTGGAGACTACTTCAGCTTTGGGAAGCATGTTTTGGATAGTGGTTACTATTCCTGCCTTTAGGTTTGAACCTGGTTCCTTATCACTTGCCAGCTCTGCAATAATTGAGAAAAATTACTTTGTTTTTCTCTGTAGTCCTGGAGCTTGAACCCATTGCCTCACAGGAAAGTGCTGGACCACTGAGCTATGTCTTAGCCTGGAAAGATTACTTAACCTCTGTGTGTTACAGTTAAGTTCATGCTAAATGGGGATCACAGGGACGCTGAGGTACATAGTTAAGGGCATTAGGTGTCTAGTGCTATTGTTTTCTGCATCACTGGAAATTGAACCCAGGGCCTTCTTCACACTGAGTTACATTCTCAGTGCTTTTTTGTTTTGACAAAGGGTCTTGCTAAATTGCCCAGGCTGGGCTCAAACTTCAGTTCTTCTGCTTCAGCCTCACAGAGTGCTGGAATTGCAGACACGTGTCAGCATGCCTAGCACTACCCCCAAATTTAGTGGCTTGAAACAGTAAACATCTGTTATCTCCCAGTCTCTGTGGGTCAGTGAATCAGCACCTTAGCTGGTTGTTCTGAAGGCTTGGGGTCTGTTGAGGTTGTGCTCTGATTCAGGCTTGGCTGGATGGGAGGAGCTGCTTCTAAAGATGACCAAATATCTGGACACTGGCCGCTTCAAATTGGCTCTAGATTTTGAATGCTTCTATTTTTTTCCCCTTTAAAAGTGGTGTATAGTTTTATATCTCACATTTGAATTTGTGACTTTTTTTTTTTTTTTTTTTGGTACCGGGGATCAAACTCGGGTCCTTGTGCTTGCGTAGCAGGCAGCAAAACCATTGAGCTAAATCCCCGGCCCCTTCGGCCCATTTTTAAATTGGGTTGCACTTTTATTATCAAGTTGTAAGAGTTCTTTATAAAATAGTCTAGATAGGTTCCTCATTGAATATTTGATTTGCAAATATTTTCTCCCTTTCTGTGGATTGTCTTGAGAATGTCATTTTAATTACAAAGATTCTTAATTTTTTTTAATGTTTTGGTTTTTTTGAGACAGGGCCTTGCTCTGTAGTGCAAGTTGGCCTTGAACTCACTATGTAGCCCAGGCTGGCCTCGAACTCTCTGGGATCCTCCTGCCTCAGCCTCCAGAGTGCTGGGATTACAGGGGTGTGCCACCACACCTGGGCTTCCAACTTTTTTTTTATTGTTGGTCCACTCAAACATTTTAATGTTGAATTCAGTGTCCATACACGTGCTCCCCTCTCCTCAGCAGAGACCTAACCTGTGCCTCTGGAGACTACAGTGGCACAGGGGCGTTGTCTGCTCTTCTACTCCTCCTGTTTTGGTACCTAGGATGCAATGAGGAGACTCTGTCTCAGACAGCTTCCCCTCTTTCTTCTTTTAAGACCCAGATCCTCCACTGCTGAGGGTAAGCGAAGGAGATTTGGGTAAGGGTGCTTACCACACTGAATCCTGTCGGGGTTGTCTTCCTGTGCGACCCCAGCTGCCTGTGGGGGTCTGTGAGGCACCGGAGGGTCACACACTTCTGGAGTTCCCTACATCGGCCGGAGGCCTCTCCTCGGTTGTCTTTTTACAGGGCATAGGGGGTCTCATCCAAGGTATAAAGCCAATCTCTGTAACTTTTATGACAGGTCCTCTTGGTGTCCCTTTCAGCAAAAAGTGTTGGAACACTCCCTTCTTTTCCTTCCCCAGGTTTCTTTCTTACTTTTTTTTTTGGGTACCAGGGATTGAATTCAGGGCCCTGCGCTTTGGAGGCAGGCCTGGTGCCCCTGAGCTACATCTCTGGCCCCCAGGTTTCTTAAATAAACTGAGAAGCACGGCAGTGTGGCCATGAACTGAGGAGCAGAGACAGTTGAGTCACTTCTCTGCAAACTTAGAGCTGCCTCTCTCAGTCCCAACAGGTTTTGTTGAAGACTCAAACTTCATTGAAGGGTCGCGGCACCCTTGTAGAAAGTCATCTGACTGTAGACAGACATACTGGTTTATTTCTGGGCTTAGTTCTGTTTCATTGATTTACACATCTGTCCTTACACTGTCTTGATTGCTCTTGTAGTAAGTATTAAAGAATTAAAGTGTTAGTCCTCCTGTGTTTTTTGTTCTGTTTCAAGAATGTTTGTGTATCCTAGGTCCTTTGAATTCCATATGAATTTTAGAATTAGTTTGTCAGTTTCTACAAAGAAACCAGCTGGGATTCCAGTAGGAATTGTCTTAAGTCTGTAGATTGATTTGGGGAGTCGCACTCTAGAGCTGGGGATTGAACCTAGGGACCGGTACACATGTTGGGCACAAAGTTTGCCATTAAGCTACATCCCCACTCCCACCCCAGCTAGCAGTACTAACATTTCTTGCAGGCAGGTCTGGTAGTGCTCAATTTCATTTGTTTTCTTCATTCACAAAAATGTTTCTGCTTAAACATAGAATTTCAGTTGATTTTTTTTCCCTTTCAACGGTTTACATATATCACGCCATTCTCTGTCATAATTCTCTCTTTGTTCCCCTGTATATGTTTTTTATTCTTCTAGCTTCTTGCAAGTTCCTTTCTTCTTTGGTTTTCTGTGGTTCAAATGATAGGCTTATATGCCAGGTGTGGTGGTGCACATCTGGGATCCCAGCCAGCAGGTGGGAGGCTAAGGCAGGAGGTTCACCCAGTACTTGGGAGGATCCCTGAGAGTTTGAGGCCAGCCTGGGGTACATAGTGAGTTCAAGGCCAGCCTGACCTAAGACTCTGTCTTAAAACAAAAACCAAAACAAAAAAGCAAACCACTGAAAAAAAAAAAAGACTCTTGGGCTGGGGATTTAGCCGCCTGCCTCGAAAGCACAAGGACCCGAGTTCGATCCCCGGTACCAACAAAACAAAACAAAACAAAAAAACAGAAAAACAAAAAATACTCTTATATGTAAGCTTTTAGGTATTTACCCTTGCATTTTGGACACTTTCTGTTGGCATATCTTCAAGCTCATGACTGATGTTTTCCCCACTCTGTCCATTGTGCTACTCTTACCGTCAAATATGCTGTCTATTTCTGTGACAGTATGGCATGTGGCTTTGATTATTTCTTAT